GTCACCAAGACTCTCATTGATTGTCTCTCTTTGTCGATTTGTGGCCACACTATCGCCTAAAAAGAAGAATGAACACGACTAGAAGTCTATTCGAACGTCGGTAAATATCGAATATCATCCACGGCCGTAATGATGGTCGTCTTTTAGTCATCATTGGACCATGCTTAATGCACGATATTGATGAAGCATTGGTATACGCTGCTCGGTTGAATGAACAGGCAAAGCTGTATAAAGTCACAGTGCTGATTGTTATGCGTGTTTATTTCGAGAAGCCCCGTACAACCGCGTATAAGTTCTTTGTCCAAACAGATGATGGGGTGTCTGAGTACGTTTAAAAGTGACGCTAACATATGCGTTTAGTGGTTGACCAAACTAGGTACCATAAAATTGCATGGGAAAAGTTTCTCGGTCGAAGTACAGAATTTGGTCTTTGAAGGTATCTTTATACGCAACACATAGTTTGAAAACTCTTTCGGCTGTTTCAGTTAATTTTATCTGTTCTAGTTATCATGATGTACAAACGAAATAGAAAAAAGGAGAACGAAATATGTTGCGAAACAATATATATCACATGAAAAGACGGATTCATATCTGCTTCCAATGCTGAATAGTGCTCGATAACTCTCCTGAAAATACACTGAACCCTTACGATCTGAGGAAAAGGCAAGCACAACCTTCAGCACAAACTTCAGACGTTAAATTTAACAGAATAATGCTGTAAACACTAAGCTACATTGGTCTATGCTTTATGTCTGCTATCACTTTTCACATTGAAGGCGTCCATCATTAATCGTCAAGGTGTTTGATATAGTTCAACCACTGCGCAGCCGAAATTTAAACTGAGGATTAGGGATGTTCGGTTCTCGGTTCCGGTTCTCGGCTTAGAATCGAAACGAATGAAGCTGCGGTTCTGGTTCCGAACCTAGAACAGAACCGCGGTTGTCGGTTCTCACCTTAAAACTGCAAAATAATTTTTCAGGCAAAAACAATGCAACGAAATAGAATTCATTTTATAGTGAACGAAAGGATCCTTTTAAATTTTGACAGGCAAATTTCGTAGTTTTGTCAATAGCGTGTTTTCATTTTGTTAAAAGAAAGGTAAGTCAAAAGGTCTCGGTTCCGAAAAACAGAAACCGTCTAAGAAACCGTGGTTCCGCTTTCCGATGAAGAACCGGAAATAAAAGAATCGAGGTTCCGGTTCTTCGCGAGAACCGAGAACCGAACATCCCTACTGGGGACCGACAAGGCATGAAAGTGTATAGTATTAGTTTCACTGGCACAAATTTCTTCTAGCCTTTCGTTCATTGCATTAGGCATGCAACATTACTAGTACAGTACCGAAGTACTGATATTGATCAGTACTGGTATTATACTTATAATATGATGATAATTTCTGTGATTGATGATGATATGATGATGTGTGGTAATGATAATAAATGATTTTATTTCTGAATGTACTACAAGGGGTTAACCCGCTTGTACTCTTTGATTAAATGAAAAGTTTAAACCAAAATGTCAGTCGTTTTCACATCAACAGGACAAGATAGCATATTCAAGAAGGAAGGGAACAAAGGTGGGTTGATATGCATATATGATCAGTAACCTAACTAAGCCTTCATCTATACTAGCCTATGCATAAGAGAACGAAACAAAAAGAAAAATCTATACTTGCACTGTACACTGCACTATCGATACGTAGAATAAAAGAAATGAAGTCAGTTTAACGCAGACAAAGGAAAGAAGAAACCACGAGGAAAACGCAATAATGTTACCTGTAGATGATCTCTAAACTAATGCGCCATAAATGTACTTTTGAATATCATCATACGAGTTAATAAAAACGATTCTTTGACTCTACGTTTTATAGCATACTCTACCACCGCGAGTAAAGACGTACGTTTTATCTTCATCAGCAAATGCTTCACGTGCCTGATCTAATAACCATTGTCCATCTTCATAAGATCTTCAATTGTTGTTATTCCGATCATCTCCTTAAACTGTTTCCTTTTAACTAATAATGATTTAAATTTATGACCGGTTTAGAATTTTGATCTTTTTTATTCAATTGTAATGGATGACAGTATTCATTAGCACAGCTTTTCGTTTGTGCACATGTCTTTTTCATATTTCAAAAAATCTCTTTCGAGCAATGAAGCGATGTTTCTGAGATAATAAATATATTCCTTGCCTTTGTTGAGCTCAGAGTTCATTTCAATTTTCTATTTCAGCTGCTCTACCTTATCGAAAAGAATCAGCTTTTATATTAGCCTACTATTTATGTTATAAACAGAATGTGGACTATCTATTTGGATACGAAATATACACTAAATTCTCACTTTGAAATAAGAGAAAAAATTCAAATTGCAATTCAAAAAAATTACTAGTGATATCCACCAATAAAATTCCGTAACGTGAGTCGCGTCGCGACTTTTTAAAACTCAGCTAGGTTGTCCTGCAATAGCCGCAATTACTGTCTGTGGCATGAGTCGCGTCGAGAAATAACGATATGGTAAAGATCACGCTAAGAAAAAACTATACTAAATTCTTAAGAATCGAATCGATGTAGATTTAGAGTCCTGCCACGAGATCGCAGGTGTATAGCGATCGCGACGTGACTTCGCGAGTGTATAGCGATCACCAAGCGACAGCCATCAGTTTATAATGATCGCGATCGCGTCGCGACTTATGCGTGACCGTCGACCTGGGTAGGTATACTTTTATCTTTTATTCCTGTTTGTTTCTATGTCTCTCATACTGCTGATAAAAGAGATTACATAAATATGGACATGTAATCGTTGATGATGATAAAGAGCTTTTGTAAGCACAAGCTCGTGCTTAACGGGACTAGTCGCATATTATTCTCTTTACTCGTTGAGATCAGCTTTGAATTCTTCCTACGTATCGTTAGTGGAAAACTGTTCTGTCCTCATTTTCCCCAATCAAAAAAGAAGAAATGAATGAGTCAAACAGGGAACATCAGAAAAAGGGAAGAGAAGGAAAAGAGACAGTAAAGCATCGGACAGTCTTCCGTTGTCGTTTGTAAGGTGAAGTAATGGTAGACGAAACTAGCGTAAGGCAAGAACATTCCACTACGCGTAATTGATTTTGTTTACTTATGCTTTAGCTATACTGTTATATTAGTAGATGTAGGCTTATTGAAACATGAAATCCTTTGTTTTCTTTGTATTTTCATTAATCGCAGCAAAGTTAACATTTTTACAAGAAAATCATATAAAATTTATCGATGCAACGTGTTTTTTAAACAGAGAGGGAAAAGTACTCTTTTCCTTCCTTCTCTTTCATCTTGCAACAGGACTAATAGAGCCGTATCAAATAAGCATACGCATACGCATTCTACGCAATACACATTCTATTATTTTTGACAGCTTCCTTAACTTGAATAGCTCCTGAACGTAAGCAGATAAAAATGTGCGGTTTTGACTGTTAGACATAAAAAAGATAACTTTATGCTTCGTAAATAAATTTCGGGAAAGTTTCTAAAGCCGGTTTTCCACAAGATCTTTTAAAAACCAGTTCCATTTTCAGAAAATTAACATACAACGTTAGTAATTTTTTTACGATCTACGATACTTCAATCAAATTGACGCTAACAAATGGTGATTAATTTTTCGTATAGTTCTATAATGGAGATGCTTGCATTTCAAGTAAGACAACGTCCTGATCAATGTTGTCTCTTATATCCACATCCGCTGCATATGGATAGTTATATATCGATCACGTATAGACAGTTTGATACTTTACTTAATCGATTGGCAAACAAGTTACTGACAATATTACCAGATATAAATGACACAAAATCTAGCACATTTGAAACACCCGTTATTTCGTTGTTAGCCAATAGTGATGTGAATTATTTGTTGATGATTTATTCATTATTGAAATTGGACATTGTGGTTTTCCCGTTGAGTACGCGAAATGATAAAGAAGCTGTTCAACATTTGATAGAAAAGACGGACGCCAAGTACTTATTTGTTAGCTCACAGTATCTGCCAATTGCGAATGAAATTAAAACGAAGTTGAATTCATCTCTACATATACAAATACTTGACGATTTATATTTAACTGATAATGAATTAATACACCAGTGCGAAGAATCATCTGATGTACATTTCTCAGTAGAAATATCATCGAATAACGAAGCCAAACTCCAACAAGCTCCATTAATATTTCATAGGTATATGTTCTAGTGTAGACGAAAACTTATAATCTAAAAGTATATTATATTTTAATTTAAGTTCCGGAAGCACCGCATTGCCAAAACCAATCCATCTAACGTGTAAACGTTTATTGAGTACATATTTCATATATATCTCGGTTCATCCTGATTATTGGAGAAACGATGATGTTTTACTTGCATGGGGACCGTTGTAAGTGATTATACATCATTTTAAGTGAATCATAATAATGTGCTTCATTTTTCTTTCTATTTTTAGATACCATTTATTTGCATTTTGTATGACGATTGTGATTTGGCAAGCTGGTGGTGCTTTTGCACTACCATTAGCAAAAGTTTATCCACCGCAACCAACAAAATTGCTTTCAAATATTGAATGTAAACAAATAACGACATTAATAACTGTTCCAGATTTATTAGAAAAACTAGTACAAATGATAAAAATAAGTGATAATCAACAATATTATTATGAATTACTTCAACGACTCCGTTTTATTGGATTTGGTGGTGCTTCTTGTTCGAATGAACTATGTCAAGAGTTAGATGATCATCATGTTCAAACACGTTGCTTCATTGGCGGAACAGGTATTTTTTCGTTTAATATTGAGTGTTTTATAATTTTTTTAAATTTTAAGCCCTTTTGTAGAAACGGGTATTATCATGGTCAGTGACCCGGAAAACAATAAAAATCTTAAACGTTGGAAATGGATGAAACTACTTGCTATGCGAAAACCCTATACTCAAATTGTTTCATTGACCAACGATGATGAATCAAAATGTTTGAAAGAAATAGTATTTTTGTCTAATGATCCATTTAATACAAAATCAATATCAAATCGACCAGATGGCTCATATTCATCCGGTGATTTATTCTCCGAGCATCCAGACATGCCTGATTATTTTACGATTGAAAGTCGTTTAGATGATATACTTGTTCATTCTAATGGTGAAAAGACAAACCCTATACCGATAGAATATAAAATAAAAGAACACGCTATCATTAAAAATGCGATGGTTTTTGGACATAAATATTTTTGCGCAGGAGTTCTGATACAACTGAATACTGAAGAGGCAATGAAATATGAATTCAATAAAATTGAGGAAAAAGTTTGGTTAGCTGTACAACATGGAAATCAACATTCACCAGAACATTCAAAAATCGTTCAAGAAATGATTAAAATTTTACCATTAAATAATGTATTAAAAACTGTAAGTAAAAAAGCATGGGATATCGTTTATAAGAGACCAGACTGCTCCGAGTTGTGTTCGAAATTATTTGTATTAAAAAGATCAGAACTATTTGTCTTGCGCGACTTACAAGAGCGTTTCTACTGGATCTTGTTTAAACCTCCCGGATCAGAAACGATGATTTTCATCAAAAATATTGGTTTTGAGAAAAGTACATCAATATATAGCCCCAAGTGCACTTCCTTGCACTCGCTAAAAAAATGGATTTCAGTCGGTTTTCACAAAGTTTGTTGGAAATTGTATGAGAAATAACCTAGACAAAAAAATGATGGTTTTTAGCAAAAACAGTCTGCACAGACGAATTCATATGCTGCAAATGCATGCACATATATCCATCGGATTTAGCATGGTCGAAAATCTATAGAAATTTATGTACAAATTATTTTTAGATGAAACTTCTCAAGGTATATACATAGTTTTTTGAGAAAAACGTATTTTACGTTTTTCTCAAAACTGTGTTTTCTGCTCGACGAAATTCACTGTCCAGCAGATTTCTTCGTAACGAAAAATCAGAATGGATTGTTTTCTTTTTTAAATTGAAGCTATGATATGTGGGAACAACGTAAAAGAGCCCGATTTTTGAGTTAGACTGTCATTCTTTTACATTATTGAAAGTTATACAGCAGTTTTTCCGCTTTTTTAAAACTTTTGAGGTGAAATCCTTCGAAAAATAAAACAAAGAAAAAATTCAAAAATCTGGCTCAACCAAATAATTTATGAAGCAACGGACTCAACTTTCTAATTTGACTTTTTAACTTAGACTGATAAAGGTAATACAATGAGAAAGAAAGTATTAGCACATTATTCATCAACAATTGAAAATATGTACGAAAAATTTCTCAATGGCAAAGACGATGATCAAAACAAACGACAACATATTAAATTACACACGGCTACATCGATCGGTGATTATTTACAACAAATAATTTCTTCAATTCTATCAAAACCTTATTCCTCGTTGAATGATCGTAAACAATTGTTTTCTAATTTATCGATTGACTCGTTAAACATGACTCGATTACATCGGCAAATATGTGACAAAATTGTTGCTATACCAAAACATCTGCTATATGAAAATCCCTCAATTGATACCCTAGCAAAAAAACTATTAAATTTGATCAATAGTAACAATGAATGGACGTCAGAAAAGGCAATAAATGAATATATTCAAAATTCAATCAAAAATGTTTGTAAGAGTGTTCACACGAATAAATATTTATCATTGACCAATGAATTATCAAAGCAATTATGGAACGATCTTACCGAACAGAATGATAGTAATAAACAAACTGAAGAAGTACTCGATAAATACATAGAAAGGATAAAGAAAGATGTAAACTATGAAAACACAAAGCAAATTGTCTTAATGACTGGTGCCACAGGTTCACTTGGTTCTTGGATATTACATTATCTACTTGAAAATGTTCAGATTCAACATTGCTATTGTCTTATACGCGGTGAAAATCCTCATCAGCGTTTGAATGAATCATTCAAAAGCCGTCAATTAAACACATCATTGCTAGAGAATAAATCACGACTTACTTTGTTAACATTTCATGATTACAATAAAGAGAAATTTGGCTTATCCAATGATATCTATGACCAATTACAACAGAATGTTACCGATATTCTACATGTTGGATGGAAAGTGAACTTTAATGTGAATGTGACACAATTTGAACAGGATTGTATACAAAATTTATATCATTTGTTGAAATTGGCAAAATCAACGTCAAAACGTTTTCATTTTATTTCAAGTATAGCATCATCAAATTCTGGCTTGCAACTTGTGATTAAAGAAGAAAGACTAAAGCGTAATTCACAATTAGCAACAAACAACGGCTACGGACAATCGAAATACATAGCCGAACATATGTGTTATGCAGCCAGAGATTTATGGAGTATGTATTTAGAGATACCTCATTCTATCTTCATATGAACTTTGTATATTATAGATGTACCTACACATATTTATCGTTGTGGACAACTATCTGGTGATACTCTTTATGGTATATGGAATAGATCAGAAATCATTTCAATGATGCTATGTGCCAGTGGAGCAATGGGTGTAATGCCGAGATGCGAACAAATGCTGAATTGGCTACCAGTCAATGAAGCTGCCGAATGTATTGTCGATTTGGTAATAAATTCAACAAGACAAAAAAGAGACAATGATAACTATGTATATCATCTGGAGAATCCAGACCGTATTAATTGGCAGACGTTTCTTGATTATCTTCTTGATGCTGGATTACAATGTACAATTGTTGATAAAGACGATTGGTTAAAGCGTCTAAGGGAAACTCAAGCAAAACATCCAGCAATGATGCTCTATGATTTTTATGAAAAGTATTTATCCAAACAATCAAATCAGCTGGTTCAGTTTGAAACGGTAAACACTGTACAACAAACAAAACTATTAGAAAATTGTTCAAAAATTAATAGTGACTTAATACGATTATACTTAAACTATTGGTATCAGTGTGGTGATCTTACTGGTGAATACTTCACTAACGCAGATTTTATTTAGGCTATACAGATGTATATTAACTTTAGTGTGAAACCTTTGTTACCATGTAAGATTACAGAAAATTTCTGCAAGTAAAAAGTGCTCGAAGAAAAGACGATTTTGAGAAAACGCAATATGTTTTATCTTCCAAAAGGTGATTAATCTCAAAATTCCTAATACAAATTTCTCACAAGTACATGAGAGGTGCTGACGCGTTGAGCGTAAGTATCAATTTTTATAAAACCACGTGGTGTGACAGCTAAAACTTCTCTTTCGACTGCTTCTTGTCGTTCGGAACAAGTTTCAAGAGATTTTCCGCAAGCATTGTGAAAATGCTAAGAGACTTATAGAAAAATGTAGTCTTTCTCTCCATCGATGATGTAAATTTAGGAAAAGTAACATAACATAAGCATCTTGGAATGATATTAACACGAATAGCATACATCGATTATATCATTGTTAAATGTAATAAAATTATTAAGATGATAAGTTATGTTACAAACGTATCCTCTTTGCATATTTTAAAGACTTTTTTTACAAAACTCTCGTCGAAAATCTTGGGAAGTACTTCAGGGTCCTTATTGAACCTTGATTTCTGGAAAACTCCTGAATGGTAAGACCTTCAGACTTAAATATATACGATTGAGCGAAATAGATTTATACATGTTCAACACAGAAATCTATTTAATATCATTTTGAGCAGTAAATGTTTCTAAGCTAATTCTTAAAATAATATGTTGAAATTCATCGTTGGCTGCTTTTTGTTCAAACAATCTATTTCAACTCATTTCTGTTTTAATGAACCAAATAATTGTGAACATATCTAACGAGGGAACCGCCCCAGGTGCCCAACTCCGCTTTTAGAGTTGGGAGCTCGATGTGCTCTATAAAATGAGGTATGAATGAAGGAAATCGGAGTTGGGCACCTGGGGCGCTTCCCTCGTAAGACGCATCAAATTGACTATAGTTACATCGAATTCCGTACACTGCATCTTCTCCTAGAGTTGGTGAATACAGATTATTTGAGTAGTCACGTAGAATTCTATTGAATTCTATACATTTCTACTTCTCTTATCCGAGATGTATGTGAAGAAATAGCGTCGTCGAGGAAGCGAACAATCATGGATATAATGAAGACGTTTCGTGTAGAATGTGGTAATCAGTTGTTGAGAGAAGATGAGAATATGGACAATCAGTAACTGATTCATGCATCGGATGGCCACAAACTCTGACTGTCCTACAACTCTTATCTGATACTGTTCAAAACAGACGAATAGCAGACTTAGCTTAGCGCAAGATCAATAAAGTCTATTTTTTTGTTGAGTATTTTAGTCACTTTGAGGTGTTTCAAACAGGAAATTCATACTATATAACAAAGCTTGTCTGCTCTGGACAACAGATGTATCTCTAAAGTAATTTCAGCACCCCTCATGTACTTGTGAGAAATGACGCGTTGAGCGTAAGTATCAATTTTTATAAAACCACGTGGTGTGACAGCTAAAACTTCTCTTTCGACTGCTTCTTGTCGTTCGGAACAAGTTTCAAGAGATTTTCCGCAAGCATTGTGAAAATGCTAAGAGACTTATAGAAAAAAGTAGTCTTTCTACGTAGTACAAGGAGGTTCGAATAGCTTCATGCATGTTTACCAACGTCCGCGTGGAATTCCCCGTATGGGCGAAAATCTTTGAGGATATACAAAGGAGCATTTTTTGTATTAGGAATTTTGAGATTAATCACCTTTTGGAAGATAAAACATATTGCGTTTTCTCAAAATCGTCTTTTCTTCGAGCACTTTTTACTCTGTTAACAAAGCTAGTAGTCCTGGAGTAACAGCCAGACTATTAAAAGAATCTGCAATTGTGACGTCTAATTATATAGCTCGTATGAAAAACCAATCTCTTGAGAATGGAATCTATCATGAATCATTTAAAACTGGCTACGTAAGCGCATTGTACAAAGAGGGTGATGCGTCTAATGCTTCTAATTATAGACCGATTACACTTCTGCCAATTCTAAGTAAGGTTTTTGATAGACTTGTACATAAGCAGCTGTATCAGTACTTGCGTACAAATAATTTGCTGTCTTCCTTGCAATCAGGTTTCACGAGAGGAGACTCAACTGTTAACCAACTAATCGATCT